CCCGTTGCCGGTCCCGGTCCGGTACGGGGGCGACACTGAGGGTTGCGATCCGTTGCCGGACACGGAAAAAGACAAAAAAAATAAAATAAATAAAAATTCAGGTTTTTTTCACTACTGTTTTAATATAAACATGTGGAAAGCTTCAGAATGTTGGTTTCAGAATTGGGACTCGTGTAGAAAATGACTTGCAAAATATTAATTTTTCAGGTTAAATGAAGTGATTTTTCCTCCCCTTATGAAAAAAAATCAGGAATTTTGTTTTTGTATTATTCTATTCATACAAATATGGAAAAAAATTTTGACTTTGCTGGCTAAATTTATTATTATGTCATATTCAGATAGAAATCTTATAATGACCTGATATATTAAGTATAGCCCTGAAACTGGATTCTAATAAACCAAATCCTTTAGGTCATTCAGATTGTTATTGGACATGAATTTAGTTAGTGAAATAATACAACATTGTTTTGATTTTTCTTGGTTGCCTTGTTTTTTTTACCCCTCACTTTCCCCCTCCTCCCACTTCTGCTGAGATGCTTTAGGTTTTAACCTAAAGAGAGAAGTGGGGAGGCTTTAGTAATTACAGTTAGCTATCAGATTTATCAGCACCAGACAGGTATATAGTTGGAATGGCTAATGTTCGGTGTTTTGTTATGAATGTTCCAGTACATCTTATAAATTATATTTCCTTAAACTGATTTAAGTTAATCTTTATAATACTGTTTAATAGTATTAAATAGGATTCTACTTATCTGTTTAATTTTTATAATTGATATAAGAAATCATAGTCCAATTATTATTCTTTTGTTGATCTGATTAAAGGGCTCTATTTAAAACAGTATGGGCCCTACTAGCAGTAGTAGCTGATGGTTGGGTGTTGGGGAATAATGCTTTCTTTGCATCATCCTTAAGGAAGCTGACCTGGTTACAACTCATGAATTGGGACACAATTTTGGAGCAGAACATGATCCAGATGGTCTAGCAGAATGTGCCCCCAATGAGGATCAAGGAGGAAAATATGTTATGTATCCCATAGCTGTGAGTGGTGATCATGAGAACAATAAGGTATGTATATTTGGGTGCTTTTTTATGTGGTTAGGAAAGAGTTTATGTGTGATTATCATAATGAGAGCATAGAAAAGTACATTCCCTGGTATTTCCCTAGGGATAGAACTGCAAATTACAAAGTACCTCGAAAGTTGGTTGTGTGTTTTGAAGTGAAGCATGGTGCATCTAAATTTGGTTAAAGCTGTCATTTGGACTGTTCATTATTAAGATTAATTGTGTATAGATTTGGGCTATAAGAAAAATTAATAGAAATGACTTTTGGCAGAGTTCTAGATTTCAGGGTCCAGTGGGCTCGGTTAAAAATTTCTTGTTTCATTTATAAGTTGTTACTCAGTTTAATACTGCAGTACTTCACAATTTGCATGTTTTCATTAACTTTTGCAACAAAACACATGCTATTTGCCAGTCTATAAGCCTCATGTGGGACAGGCTTTCTTGTTCACAGCTCTGTCTCCAGAGCCTAGTAGGACTGCTGGCACATAATAAATATTTATTGAGTAAATAAGTGAACAGTTTACTATTGAGGGTTTCTGATAGAGTATATTAGTTGATTTGGGATATTATAAACAATATCAGAGACTTTAAGAATGGCTATGACTAACTCTTAAGAATCTAAACTAAATGTTGAAAGTATTAATGGATGTCTGATCTTTTCATTTTATTTGAATTTAAACAACATAATGCAGTGTGTGGAAAACATATTAGCTTTGTTGCTGAGTTTAGAGGGCTGAGGGTGCCTAAAGGACCTGAATCTAGTCAGGAAAGAATGGTGATATATTTGTCCTGACTTCCATTTTGAGCCAGGCCATGGGCTACCTAAATTTGAGCAGCATCTAGAGGAAAGGATTGCTTTGGGGTTTCCTTGGCCCTGACCCTGCTGCTTAAAATTTTTGCCTTTTTTAAAAAAATCTTTTTTGATTGTTGAACCTCATTTTCTTTGGCTTTTATGTATAAACAGCCTCTTCCTCTCTTGCTTTGCATGTTACATTTTATTTTTCCTCTGCTTGACAACTTGCACCTAAGAAACATTTTCCTACCCCTTTTTGCCCATTCTCTCAACTTAAATACCCTGTTGCACTTTCCTCTTTTTCAGAGGTTGTCTCTGCATTTCTAACCATGTGCATTATTGTTCAGTGCTGTCCAATAGAACTTCCTGTGAGGATGGGAATGTTCTAGATCTGCTCTGCTCTATACAGTAACCATTAGACATGTGTGGCCATGGAGAAATTGAAATGTGGTGAGAGATTGTGGAACTGAATTTTAGATTCTGTTTTATTTAAATTTAATAGTGGTTTCCTGTTATTGGAGGTGGGAATGGTCATTAACTGTAAAAGGACGTAAGGGACCTTAGAGGGGGGATGGGAATGTTTTAAAACTGACTTATGGTGATGGTTTTACCTCTTGATAAAGTTACTAGAAATCACTGAGTTGTACACTTGAAATGGGTGGGCTTTGTGATGTGTAAAATATGCCTTAATAAAGCTCTTAAAGAGTAAACAATAAAAGTAATGTGGGAGCAGAGGAAAAGTGGTGAGGAAATTCATGAGCTGTGACGCCATGAGTTGATGACTGTTGAAGCTAGTCAGGGGCATGTGCATGTTCATGTTACCATTCTGTCCACTTTATAGGTGCTTGAACATTTCTGTAATAAAAAGTGTAAAATATGTGACTAGGAAACAAATTTAAATAGCCGCATATGGCTAGTGGCTACCAAATTGGACAGTATATGGCCAATAGTTGACAGGTTCACTTGCTTCTTGGTTATGAGGATGGAACTGTGGAGGCAAATGGTTTACTTTATAGACTCTGCCTCAAGTAGACATGTATGTTGCCAACTCTTCCTGCCACAAGTTCTTCCCAAGTGAAATTTTCCCTGTGGGCTCTTCAAGCGGCCTATGAGAACTTGCTATTGAGAATGGAGCCTGGACAGAGCTGTTTTTTCTGGAGCTGCTAGTCTGTGTCAGTGAAGAACAACTTAGTTACAGTCGTGCATTGCTTAACTACAGAGACACCTTCAGAGAAATGTGTTATTAGACAATTTTGTCCTTGTGCGAACATTGTAGAGTATACTTATATAAACTTAGATGCTATAGCCTATTAGACAACTAGGTTATATGATGTAGTCCATTGCTCATACACGAGTAATTCACTGCACTATGACTTTATGATGTCACTGGGTGATAGGAAATTTTCAACTCCATTATAATCTTATGAGACCACTGTCTTGTAGACTGTTCATCGTTGACTGAAAAGTTACACAGTGTGAGGCTATATTTATTTTGTTCCGAACATGTCATGTTTAGTGTATTTTTTTTATAATTTGGTTTTCCCAAGTAGCAATCCCTTTGCAAGAAACTATATTATGCATTTTCTAATCTACATTTTATTTTATATTTAAAATTTTTATATCTTATTTTTTGGCGGCTGGCCGGTAAGGGGTTTCGAACCTTTGACCTTGGTGTTATAACACTGTGCTCTAACCAACAGACTTAACCAGCCAGCCCCTAATCTATATTTTAAATAGATTTCTTAGTGAAAATGTTTTAACTAAACAAAAGGGCTACAGGAGAAAAATAAGGTAGTTTCTTGACTTAAACAGGACCTGCCACTGACTACTAACCATGCCGATAAAAAGCAGCATGCCATGGATGGACGTAGCTGTGAACAGATAACATTAGTGAAAAGGAATGTGGGACGTTTGGGATTGTAACCTCCTAGGAGGGTTTACTGAAGGGAGAAGATTTTGTGGTAAGGATCAAAAGGAAGAGTGTGTAGGCAAAAACCTAGAGTTGAAGATTGTTTACTTTTTCCTTAGCATTGTCCAGCAAATCCAGCTGCTTGGAAAGTGTAACTCTGAAAAATTAATGAAGAGGTGTTCTTATCTCTTTGCTGTGAGTTTTACTTCATTAGGACCTGGGCTCCTGGAACTGAACTGATAAAATGAAATAGAGCTCATGAATCTGCAATACTGATGAATAAAACATCCCATCAAAATACCAACTGCCCAAGGCCCAGATTGGAATAACCAGACCCCTTAAACATCTTCACTGTAAAAATACATTGGAATATCTTTTTTAAAAGTTCAGTTAGTACTTCTGTTCAGGATGATGAGGTCTTTGCTACCTTTTACTGTCTTTCTGAAAGTTAACTCCTTTGGTATCTGATTTAGTGGTTATAGTCATCTTTGGCGAGCTCTCAGGAGCTTCGTGATTGTCTGGGGTGAAAGTGAAGCCATTTTAGCATCTGCAGAGCATTTTAGCATCTGTGAAGACCCTGCCCTAAGAAATAACCACACTCAGTTTTCCCCAAGTCCCTTACTCCTTTTCTGATCATTTCAGGTGGTCTGGAAAATGGGTTCAGTTTTAGACCTCCGGGTAAAATTGAGCATTTTAGCATCTGTGAAGACCCTGCCCTAAGAAATAACCACACTCAGTTTTCCCCAAGCCCCTTACTCCTTTTCTGATCATTTCAGGTGGTCTGGAAAATGGGTTCAGTTTTAGACCTCCGGGTAAAATCCCCAAACTTAAAAGAGGGCCATTTCAGTGGTTCTGTACTCCAAGTTGGGAAGCTAGGATAGAGGCTGCCTTTGAGACATTGGTCAGCTGTAGCAAAACTCAGAGAAACTTAAGATCTTGTGGATTCATGAAAATGTTCAGGCAACAATTTGGAATTTAATTTTTAGAAATAGACTATTTGTAATACCATACCTCTTACTAAGCTCAAGTATTTAAAAACTTTAAATGTGTATCATCCGTTTAAAAAGCTGGGGAAAGGGAAGTGGGTAAACCAGAACACACTCTTTTCTGCATTCCTGAATTGTTTTGTCTGGGAATACAACGGTCATGCCACTGCAGCAGTGGTGTGGTGATGGTGGCTGAGTTCGAGTCTGATGGAATTCATGAGCTCCCCATGTGTTAGACTGCTTGTCCCTTTGATAGCATTGGCTGAGTGAGATGTTTTGTCTCAGTATTTGTGTAGCTTGCCTTCATGTGAGGAATTTTAGGTCCAAGTTCACACCAGCCATTTAGTGTCCTATAGAGGGAGATACAGATATCACCCCCTTACTGCAGGTGAGATGTCCTGAGAACCCCAGTGGATGCCTGAAACCACAGATAGTACCTAACCTAATATAAACTCTGATGACCCAGATGGCTGCTAAGTGACTAGCATATATACAGCATGGAGATGCTGGACAAAGGGAAGATTCATGTCCAGGGCAGGACAGAGCAGGATGGTGTGACATTTCATCATGCTACTCAGAATGGCGCACAATTTAAAACTTAGGAATTGTTTATTTCTGGAATTTTCCATTTAATATTTTCGGACTGTAGTTGACCTCAGTTAACTGAAATTGCAGAAAGTGAAACCACAGATAGGAGGGACTACCGTACTCACTTCCATATTGATGGCATTTGGAGGTGACTGTGATGGCCTTGACGTAACTACAGGGTGACTCCAATGGTGGTTTTTACATTAAGGGTTTGTCTTTTGAGAAGAAGCACAAACACTACATGGGAATGAATGTGGCCATTTTTCTTTTAAGATGTTTTCAAACTGCAGTAAACAGTCAATCTATAAGACCATTGAAAGTAAGGCCCAGGAGTGTTTTCAAGAACGCAGCAACAAGGTGTGTGGGAACTCTAGGGTGGACGAAGGAGAAGAGTGTGATCCTGGCATCATGTACCTGAACAATGACACTTGCTGCAACAGCAACTGCACATTGAAACAAGGTGTCCAGTGCAGGTGAGAAATAGTCCAACTGTAAATTTGGGGAGTTGGTATAACAAGGTGTCCACATCACAGAAGATCAAAATGCAAGGGTTTTCCAGTCAGTTAGAGGGTGTGTGTGTTTACGTTTACCACTTTTGTCCTTCAGAGCAAGAAAATATGAGGGTACTTCAAAAGGTTCGTAGAAAGATTTGTATTATCTGTTAATTCTATTTTTCCATGAACTTTTTGAAGTACCTGGTATTTTCTGGAAAGCAGTTTGACATTATATAACAAAGTCCTTGACCTTGCATGCTCTCTGATATAGCAATCCCATCGGGCTGGTCAGTTAGCTCACTTGGAACAGTGTGGTGCTGATAACACCAAGGTCAGGGGTTCAGAGCTTCAGATCCCCTGACTGGCCAGCCACCAAAAAAAAAAAAGGCAATGAATTAGCAATCCCACAGTTCAAAGAATCTTTTTTAAGGAAACAGAAATGTACAAGAAAGATGATTTAATAAGGATGTTTCATAGCTACATCCTTTTATAATAGCAAAATATTGGAGGCAATCAAAATGATAATCCCAAAATATAAATTAGTTATTGTGTATCTATACAATAGAATGGTGTTGTAGAATACCGTTTAATGATATAAACTAAATGTGGAGGGAGCAGGTACAAATTAGAAGGTACCTGTGTTTCCATTTTTATGTCCAGTGAAGACTAGTGCCTGGCTAAATAGAAAGGTTAAATGTTAGTTTATGGTGAATAATTCAGATTTAACTGCAGTTGGTGCATATTAACACTGTAAATACTGATAGAGTAGGCCCTTGGGCTCCTGTCATTTTTTAAAAATTCGTTAATGAAAACTAAGGACACTGGGATATTTTGAGATGATGCTCTGTTGCTTGTTCTTTTCTACTACAGCGTGTCGTTGATGTTGCCTTATCCTAATTAGGCAGGGCAGACAGTGTGTGCAGGAGGCTCCAGCACCAGGGAAGTCTGATTACGCAGCAGCGGGTGCCTGGGCCAGGAGGTTTCCGCTATGATCTTCAGTCCCTGTAACATGACTGTAGCGTTTGATGTGGGGCTGTCATTTGACTTAAACTGTCCCTGTCTGCTCTTCTTCTGCAGTGATAGGAACAGTCCTTGCTGTAAAAACTGTCAGTTTGAGACTGCCCAGAAGAAGTGCCAGGAGGCTATTAATGCTACTTGCAAAGGCGTGTCTTACTGCACAGGTATGTGCCGCTGTTGCCTCTCTTCGAACACTGTGGCTCAGTGTGTATGTGTATGTTTGAGAAACAAAATTATCTTTTGTTCAGATAAAAGCAATCCCTTTTTTCACCTCACGTGTAGAGTTGAGTTGATGGTACTTCTTAGTTTACGACACAGTTAGCATTGGTGTGTGCAAGACTCATCATTGTTTTATTTCTTTATTTCTTTTCATTATTTATTTCCCTTTAATTTCCATCACGGACCTTCTCTTTCCCATCACTAACATCCATACTACTGTTTAATATTTGCCTGGATATATGTATATCCTTGAAAGATAATAGTGTTACTTTCTGTATGTGTGTGTCAAAATGTTCCAAAATGCTGTTCTACCTTAGATCTACTTTAAAAAAATCAGTACTATGTTTTTAATGATTGTCTATGTTGTGCTTTATGTCTATGTCTCTATATCTATATCTGTATGCATTTCATTGTTTTGGGCACCTGCAAAGTATTTAGTTATGTGATTTACTATATTTTACTTACCACGTGACAGCTACTTGGATTGCCTTCATCTCCTTGATGCTACAGATAGGACTACAGTAAAAACCCTTGTATATGCCTTCAGGTGTCTGCGTAAGAGTTCTTAGTGCATACCAGGAGGGGAATTGCTGAGTCACAGAGGGCGGGACTACACTGGTCTTTAAAACAGCATTACTGAGTCGTCTGAGCATGAGGTTTCTTGCATCCTGATGTCCTGGCCAACACTTGGTGTTATCCAGCTGCCTTATCTTTTTCCAATCTGATAGTGTAAAGTGATTTCTCATTCATCAGTAATGATAATATCTGTTTCACTTCTAATATTGGTAATTTATGTCCTCTCTATCTCTCTCTCCTTTCTTAATTAGGATGGCTAGAGGTTTATCAGTTTTATTGAACTTTTCAAGGGACCAATCTTCCGTTTTGTTGATATTCTCTACTGTTTTCCTGTTTACAGTTTGATGAGTTTTGTTTTAAGTTTTATTTATTCTTAGACTGCTCTTCATTCTAAACTTTTCTTTTCTTTTCTTCTTCCTTTTTGTCTTTTTTACTGACCAGTAACGGGATCGCAACCCTCGGTGTTGCACCCGTATCGCGCTCAGCCAGTGAGCAGGAACCGGTCTCCACATGGGATCCGAACCCTCGGCGGGAGCGCCGCCACACTCCCAAGTGGTGCACTCTCCAGTGCGCCACCGGGCCGGCCCAGCTATTTAGATTTTTACTGTGAATAGCCAATTCATATATTTGGTTCATTTTAAAAATTGGGTTTCATGTTATTTTGCTACTATGGATTTGGAGGAATTCTTGTATAATAATTCATTTGGTTTTCATAAATCTCCTTCCAATCTGTTGTCCTTCCTGGAACATAAATCTTTAATTTTAGTGTGATCAAATCTATCATTTTGTTGTATGCATGTGTTTATTTTTTCAATTGTAGACAGTTTCTTTCACTAAGCATAACATTTTCATGGTTTATCCATGTTGTAGCATGTATTTCATTTATTGCTGAATAATATTTCATTGCATGGATATAACATTTTATTTATTCATTAGCTGATAGATATTTGGGTTGTTTCCACTTTTTGGCTATTATGAATATGAACATTTGTGTATAAGTTATGGACATTTCCCTTGGGTATATACTCCAGAGTAGAAGTGCTGGGTCATATGGTAACTTTATGCTTAATCTTTGAGGAAGTGCCAGGTCGTTTTCTAAACTGGCGGCACCAGTTTACATTCCTGCCAGCAGTGTGTGAAGATTCCATTGTGTCCACATCCTTACCAGCACCTGTTATTTTGTATCTCTTTGATTGTAGCCATCCTAGGTTTTGTGATAAGGAAGCAAACAGAAGGTCAGAGGTCTTCAGGGACCTCATGGATAGTGAAGTTCTGTGTTATTTGGTTTTTCCTTTGGTTTTTAAATGTGCCTTTTTTTTTTTTTAAGGATGACTGGTAAGGGGATCTTAACCCTTGACTTGGTGTTACCAGCACCACTCTCTCCCAAGTGAGCCACGGGCCGGCCCCTAAATGTGCATTTTATAACATGTTGCTCATGATTTTTATGTTGTCGGATCTTAAAGTGTCATTTAGTTTGCCAAATGTCAGGAGCTAGAATATCTCAAGCTTTAAAAAAAATTTTCTAGCTGTGCTCAATGTTTCGGCCTTTATTGTAATAATAAAAGAATCAGAGAGATCTTTCTAAATAAGCATAAGTAAAACAATTTGAAAAAAAAATGTATTCTTACCAAATAGTCTTTTGTTCCCTTGATAATTTATGCCAAGTTGCAGCTAGCAGAGGATACATCGTTCATTATAAGGAATCAGCATTTCACAACTAGCAGCATCATATCATCCAGGAACCTGTGAGAAATGGAAATTCTCAGTCTCCTCCTTGGATCTACTTCATCAAAAACTCTGGGGACAGGGCCCAGCAATCGTGTTACATTTCATCAGATGATTTTGACGTGCACTAAACTTTGAGGGCCTGTTAAAAAGATGATACTGTTTTAAAAATTATTTTCCTGCTTGTGTCATGTGTCATTTAATCTTTTAAGAACAGATTTTAGTCTTTTTAAGAACTCTGATTTTAGTCTTTTAAGAACAGATGTTTAACAAGTAAGCATTTTTTTAATGTATTAGGGCAACATATGCCAAACATGCAATAATGATCCACAGAATCAACCTTCACTGAGCTCACTGGCCTTCTTACAGATATCTTGCTTTACATAGTAGTTAGGTTGTTATGTGACTGTCTGTTGCCACTATAAATACCCAGTGCTCATGAAGGGTTGAGATCCAAGGCAAGTGCAAAGTTCCTAACAGACTGCCTGATATCTGTTAGGTACTTAACAAACCATTGCTTTTGTCTGGAACAGGCCAGATTTCATTAAGTTCTGTCTTACTGCTCCAGAGCCATTTAAGTCAGATTTTTTTTTTTTTTTTTGGCGGCTGGCCAGTAACGGATTGAACCCTGGACTTTGGTGTTACCAATATTTCATTAAGTTCTGTCTTACTGCTCCAGAGCCATTTAAGTCAGATTTTTTTTTTTTTTTTGGCGGCTGGCCAGTAACGGATTGAACCCTGGACTTTGGTGTTACCAATACCACCCTCTAACTAACCAAACTAACCGGCCAGCCTCTCAGGATTCTTTTGATTGGTTCCATTCTTTAGCAGGAAGGCCAGTCCAGACTTGTGGGTAGAGTCCACTGCTTTTCTGCAGTAGTTTTTCTTCTTGTGTTGACTTTTAACTGCTTGTGCTATTCATTTTCCAGAATGAGTCTCTCATTCCATCCTTTCCCTCATTTAACATTCTTTGGTTTTCTTTGTCCTTAAGAATCACTGATTCATTCAAGAAATATTTGTGGTGTTACCTACAATATGATAGGGATTGGACATAAATTGATTAATCAATAGATTTGATCTTTGTTCTCATGGAGTCTAGTGGAAGGGAAACAACAGTAAATAATCAAATATATAAATTGTAAAACGTGCTAGGAAGGAGAGAAAGAGCATATGGTGACAGCATACTGGAGGTGAGGCCATACCAACTTAGCGTCGTCAGGGATGTCTCAGAAGAGAAGATCTTTGAAATAAAACCTAAATGATGAGAAAAAGCCAGCTAGTCCCTCTGCAAGAGTGGAAACACGAGCATTGCAGAAGGAATAGTATATATTGATGATGTGAGGTGACAAAGACTTTGGAGTGTTGATGTGAATGGAGGCTGTTGTAGCTGACGCAGAGCAGGCTCTGGAGACTTGTGTGCCATGAGGTTGGAGACAGAGGCAGGCCAAGGCCATGCAGCTTTTTTATGCCTTTGTAGGGAGTTTACATTTATTCTAAGTAATGGCACATAGGTCTTTGTTTTATTAATGATAATATATATGCATTATATATATAAAATACATTATGTATATGCTTTTATGTGTAATGTTTCACATTAAAAAGGTGCAGGAAGACTATATGAACAACTTTAAGCAGTGGCTATGAGGTGAGGACATGGAGACCACGCCCGTGGACATTTGGGTGCTTGGGAGGCCAGGGACTTGTGCAGCGTGGCTGGCACACAGCTGGTACTCCCCAAACGGTATCGGTTGATTGGATGTAGGCTGTCGTCCTAGCTCTGTGGGTCATTTTGTGAGGTGCTCACTCCTTTTATGAGAAGTAGGATATCATCGTGCACCTGTGGAATTGGCAGACATGAGACTCAGTGTACAAACTGGTCTTTATTTCCAGGTAATAGCAGTGAGTGCCCTGCTCCGGGAAATGCTGAAGATGACACGGTTTGCTTGGATCTCGGCAAGTGTAAGGATGGGAAATGCATCCCCTTCTGCGAGAGGGAGCAGCAGCTGGAGTCGTGTGCGTGTAATGGTGAGCAGTTTCATGCTGAGTTCTGTAGCAGGGGAAACATAGTCTTTGTCTGCCAGGCCCTGTCTCTCCACTTGGAGGTCTGGCAGTGTAAGCTGCTCACTGCTGGTCAGGGCAGTGGGGAGAACCAAGCCAGGGAAAGGGGCTGTGGGGAAGGCAGGGCTGTGCCTGGAGACAGACATCTACTGCATTCAGATCCTGGCTTCTCCACCATACCTGTGAAAATGGTCCTGTTGATTTTTCTTCTTGCTATATTTCAGAACATGTGGCAGACTTTGGGATGGAATAGGAGGGAATTTTTGTGTCTGAGTGAGTGTGTGGAGGTCTGTTCTTACCCTCCTCTGCCTGGTATCATACACACCGTGAAGACAGCAGTAACTGTCTACATTCCATTGGCAATGAACTAGGATGCTCCTTCAATAACTCCACCAGAGAGAGCTGATTCCAGGATCTGACTCCACTAGATGAGGATTTTTGCCATTGTCAACAGGACTGGGCCTGCTCCCCTGTGATCTCTACTAAAGCAGCCTGGGGCAGGACCCTCTCTCATGATGGCCTCTCAGTTTTCCTTAGGTCTCCAAGCTCTATTTTTGGAGCCCTTCGGTCTGAGGAGGGCCTCAGGTACTATTTGGACTCTGAGCTTCCCACCCCATTTCAACGGTGGAGCATATGAGTTGATAATAGAGTTCTGTTGCTTTCAAAATAGACAACCCAGTAGTTAAAATCGTTGGGTTGGAAGCTCATCATCCATACAGTGGAGTAAGTGGCTTTTCCAGGAATGACATGTAAACAAAGAAGATAACACATCGTAGATGCCAAATAATTTGTTCAGCAAATGGCAAGAGGCTTGGGGTGTCCTGGGAGGAATAGAGCCTGACACACAGTAAATGTCCAAGAAATATTTGATGAATGAATGAACAATCAAAATGTTTTTGTTTTGGGCCAGCCCGGTGGCGCACTCGGTAGAGCGCGGCACTTGGGAGCGCGGCGCCGCTCCCGCCGGTGAATGAATGAACAATCAAAATGTTTTTGTTTTGGGCCAGCCCGGTGGCGCACTCGGTAGAGTGCGGCACTTGGGAGCGTGGTGGCACTCCCGCCGATGATTCGGATCCCATATAGAGACCAGTCCGCTCACTGGTTGAGCGCAGTGCGGGCGCGACACCAAGGGTTGCGATCCCGTTG